TGAAGGGTGAAGATCCACCTTTTTGTATACCTTGCCACAGCCCTCTTACTATGAAGCACATTCTGCTGGAATGTGTTGATTTTGCACTTATCAGACAACGTTTTTATGATAATGATAATACCTTATCTGAACTTTTTAACACAGTTTCTAATCACTTGATTTTGGCGTATTTAAAGGAAATCGAACTCTATGATGAAATAGAGATTTTTACCTGAACAGTCAGTCTTTTACCTCTAAATGTGATACGTTACTGAGATTTTGGTGTATTTCAACATCACTATTAATTTATTGGTTGATATATGATTACACAAAAGACATTTCTCGCTGCGAATAGCTGCAAAATTGCTGATGCGGCGTTAAGCAATATTCACTCACTCACTCACAATAAATTTTGAATTGTTTTAGAATAGTGGGATATTATTGTCAGCTGTCATTAATGAAAGCGGTGCCTGTCAGGGGGCATCTTCCCGAGGCAAGAGAGTTAACTGACTTTAAAAGTCCAGTTTCCACCCTTGCCGAACTAGGCTGGAATTCCTGGGTTCGATCGTAGCGCCACCAGTGGCTATTACGAGTAATCTCCTTTCTATGCCTCTCCTATTGACCAATCAGATTCAACCTCTTGTATCACTTGCATTTGCTTCAAACAAAACGGTGGCGCCCAGTCAAGACAATCTGATTGATAATCAAGATCTGTATTGTGATAAAACGAGTCTTACATCGCGAAGTGCATCAAAACACGTGAGCACCTTGATTAAAAGCATGAAAAGATTTAGAAAATATCTGTTGACAACGAGTTAGCGGTGGACATGCTTTGTAAATCCTGCAGTCGACCGAAATCTGCATGACAGTTTACGAACCGGATTTTGATTTCGGTGCGCGATTTTGATTGGACTATGCATACACTCGTTAGTCCAGCCAAAATGTAACTCCATAATACCAGCCTAGTTCGGCAAGGGTGGAAACTGGACTTTTATAGTCAGTTAACTCTCTTGCTTCAGGAAGATGGTCGGGGGGTTAATGTAGTGTAAAAGTATTATCCCTCCTGACAGTGGCACGTGAGTCATCTATATTGAAGTGTTTAATATCAACTTGTGTTTTAATTCCTTGATTGTGCTTTGATTTTTTTATATTGGTTAACATTGCGTACAACCAGTCGTGACCAAAGCGATGGCATAAATCCTGCTGGGAATCATGCAGGAAGCAAAAGTCCCCATGATCAACAGTTTGGTGGTCAAGGTTTAGTTGCCAGTTGCCTGGTTTAACTTCCAATTAACTATTTGATTGAAAAATGCTTTGTTTTAATATTGCTCATGTTGGTTTTATATCCAAAATGTGATATTTACCTTACTGTTTTACAGTCCTTTGTCGACAGAAGTTTTAAAATAATAAACTTGTTCTCATCGCTATTTGGCTGCAATATTGCAGATGCGATGTAAATATATAACTCACTCACTCACTTAATTAGGTTTTCCAACTAGAAGTGGATTGTTTTAAGGCATCTAGACTTTAGGCAACTTATGTTATATACTGAACAACAAAAGTTCAAGTGACATTGAATAAGACTTAATGCAAAGTTATGTTTTTTACCAAATCTGAAACAATTTCGGTTTGCAACAGATAAAAGACTCCTGTAAGTGTTCAATTGGTTTAATTTGCCATAATGACTTCAGAAAATGCGTGATTTCATAAAAAAACATTTACAAATCAATAGCTTGTGTGTCCACCTCTGGTTGTGATGCAAGCAACACATCTTCGTCTTATGGAATGGACCAGGCGTCGCACAAAGTCCTGTGGGATATCTGTCCACATCTGCTTGAGCATGTTTTGAAGTTCCTGGAGTGTCTGTGGAACACGTAGTGGTCGTCGAAGGTGCCGATCCATCTCATCCCACATGTGCTCGATTGGTGAGAGATCAGGGGAGCGAGCCGGCCAGGGGATGACATTCACATTGTTTTGTTGAAGGGAATCCTGAACAAGTCGAGCAATATGAGGCCAGACGTTGTTATGTTGAAAGGTAATGCCTGGGCCATGACGACACAAAAACGGTAGAACAACAGGGCCGATGATCTCATCGCGGTAGCACTGTCCATTGAGATTTCCATCTACCACTATCAAACGGGTCCTCTGTCTTGCTGTAATCCCACCCCATACCATAACGCTGCCGCCCCTGAACCAATCTTCTTCCATGACACAATGATTGACGTAACGTTCACCTCGACGTCGGTAAACTCGAGTCCGTCCATCGCTGTGGCTGAGGTGAAAACGAGACTTGTCAGTGAATAGAACTTGTCCCCACTGCATGGCCGTCGAGCGTAGACGTTGTCTGCACTACTGTAGACGTGCTTGACGGTGGTTTCCTGTCAACATGGGATGTCTGGTAGGTCTTCTGGCGACAATCCCTGCACAATTGAGGCGACGACGTACGGTTTGTGAAGATATTTGTCGAAGGCCAGGGATGATTCTTGCAGTCACTGTTGCTGGCTGGAATCGATTTAGTAAGTGTGTTGTTCGAATCAAGTTGTCTTGTCGATTATTGATTACGCGTGGCCTGCCACTCCGAGGATGGTCTCTGACTGCATTCGTCTGTTGCCAACGTTGCCATAAACACCAAATGGTGTTTCTGCGCATGTTCAATTGTCTTGCAACATCACGTTGACTCGATCCTGCTTGTAGCATACGCTCATTTTCGGACTGGCGTGGCATTTCGTAATATTGAATAATTGCGTAATTTTGTTGTTTTTCTGAGTGGTTGTTGTCAGCACGATGCTAAACAATGCATATGGAATCCCGTTAACGCACGTGTTTTAATACACATTCTTGGATAGTGAAATGCATGGGGCTTGCATAAAAGCCAACTTTTGCATGGAATGCATGCTTTTCTGATGCAGTTGCGTTTTTTATGACTTGATTCCATACATGTACTACAATATTGAAAACCAAATTTTACTTGTTTGAAAAACACACTAAAATAGAGGTGTCACGGAAACTTTTGTTGTTGAGTACATATATATTGGTACTGCATATGACGTGTGTGCCCAAACTGGAAGTGACGTCACTCAACAGGAAATGCATGTTCTCTCTTCTCCAGGTACTTTGGACATGGGTTTCTTACTACAGTCCGTTTGACTCCAAATGAGAACGATGAATTGCAAAATAACTCGAAATCCAGAAAAGTGTATGAAACATCAATACGGTACTTGACCATGAATACCCTGTACCCAACAAAATCTGAATTTTGTTTATTTTAAGACCCATGACGGATGAAGTTCTTTGAGAAATTATCATGTAATTTTGTATAGAAATGTGTACATGACACGTAGGGGGGACAAACCGTGGAAGGCACAGCGCAAGCACGCATGCACTGCACGTTCTGTGGTAGGGGAAATGACAGAGCGTTAGAGGGGCCGTCTCATGATAATTTCAGTCGCAATCTAACTCGCTCATGCCATAGATCTCGTCGTCGGAACTGCTGGTGCCTGAACCGACTGCCACTATTATAGGTTGGACTGTTGCTGGCCGTAGTCCATCTCGTGACCAATAACGTGGCTCTATCTCATCAACGACTGTGGCCACACAATGCCTCCATGTTTCTACTGTTACCCGACCAAGGGATTCCTTTACGAGTTGTTCAACATCTCGTAATTTGAACGTTGTGTTCGATCGTCCAACGTCACCCTTGATGATGCCCCATACCAACTCGATTGGATTCAGGTCACAGTGATAAGGTGGCAGTCGTAAGACAGCGTGACCCTGACCCTTGATGTAACTGTCAACTTTATACACGGGGTCAGGTTTCATAGTTTTGATGATTTCATAGAGCTGTGTCGCTCGAGAAGGAAAGGTAATATTCCTCCGTTGCAGCCAAGTAACCATGTCTCTTTTACGGTTATTAGAGGTTGGAGTCTTGCTTTCTGGATCCTGCACACTATATGATACTTGGTAGGCAAAGCAGGGACTCATTTATCTTTCACCCACTCCAGAAATACATTGCCGTTCATTTCTGTGTGGTAGTCCCTGTTGTCTTTGGCCTTGGCTCTAAAGACGAGGTCACAGTCTGGGAGAAAACCCTGACTAGCAGAACCAGCATGGAGAACTATGTGTCTTTCACCCTTTCCCATTGGTAACTTTCTACCAGACTCCTTACAGTCACCACTGGGTACCCACTGACTGCTGGCTGTGTGTGACGCATTTACCCATGTCTCATCTAAGAAGACGGGCTTATATCCTTCTTCACGTTTCTGCTTGATGGTACGAAGGTAATGATTTCTGAGGGGACATACCAAGAGCTTTTGAAGCTCGTTTCAAGAATTTATTAATTGCATAAAAAGGCTTTGCTCTTTCTGCTTCACTTCTAAAGAAATCATACACATTCAACATCAACTGTTTAACATCTGCTGAGTAGCGCATCTTGTCATTGAATGAACACGGTCACTGTGTAGCACGTGCAGACCGTGCTTGCGCTGTGCCTTCCACGGTTTGTTCCCCTACGTGTCATGTACACATTTCTATACAAAATTACATGATAGTTTCTTAAAGAACTTCATCCATCATGGGTCTTAAATTAAACAAAATTCAGATTTTGTTGGGTACAGGGTATTGATGGTCAAGTACCGTATTGATGTTTCATACACTTTTCTGGATTTCGAGTTATTTTGCAATTCATCGTTCTCATTTGGAGTCAAACAGACTGTAGTTGATGTCACTAGTTTCGAAGAGCGCAAAGCTTCATTATTAAGGTCGCGGGAGACATGAAACGCTCCTTTACTTGAAAATGTGAGCAAATTAGAGATCAAAGTTGATTATAGATAGGTATTGGTGAGTGTATCTGTTTGGTGAAGCCTAAATAGTTCATAGTAAATTTTATGCATTGAAGGTTTCAGGGAATTCGGAAAAGTTAGTAAAGGCTGCTTCAAGTTTGTTTATCCATCTTTCTTGTTTGTTCTAAGTTGTTGAAACACGATTGTTTGTGAAAATGAGTGAGCACACATATGTTTATACAGGTGATGCATGATGAAGTGAGTGAAACAGAAAACATTCGCAAGAACCTTTCGATAGAACGGATGATTGTTGAAGGCTGTGACATACTTTTGGATGTCAACCAGACGTTTGTCAGACAAGGTAAGTCTTGAACAGTATCATTTGTCATGTCTTTTGCCTTGCAGAATAAATGTATTACTGGGTACTGGACATAATTCTCTGGAAATCTATGAAGTGGATTACAAGGTGTGAACCTCTTCAAGTTGAAATGTTCTCATTGGTGTTTAGCTGAAGTCCATCGAAAATAAAAGGGACATAGTTTAGTTTAGTCAACTTATGTTATGGCACATTGTCCGTCATCTGTCCATTCTTAACATTTCTCGAAAACTACAAAGATGAAACTTGCATGAACAAACACATTTGTTCTACTTTTTTTATATCAGTAAATACCTTGATACAACCTTTACACTTGTCCAAGGTAATAATTGAACAAGTGCTATACATACAGGCTTTATACTTCAACCTGATCTGTTGTGTAAACATCAATCTATCATCATTGAACCTTGTATAAACACCAGTTATCCACATGTATACTGAACAACAAAAGTTCCTGTGCCATTGAATAAGATTTAATGCAAAGTTATGTTTTTACCAAATCTAAAACAATTTCGGTTTGCAACAGATAAAAGACTACTGTTAGTGTTCAAATGGTTTAATTTGCCATACTGACTTCAGAAAATGTGTGATTTCATAAAAAAACATGAACATGCCAAAATGTCAATTTACAAATCAATAGCGTGTGTGTCCACCTCTGGTTGTGATGCAAGCAACACATCTTCGTCTCATAGAATGGACCAGGCGTCGCACAAAGTCCTGTGGTATATCTGTCCATATCTGCTGGAGCATGTTTCGAAGTTCCTGGAATGTCTGTGGAACACGTGGTGGACATCGAAGGTGCCGACCCATCTCATCCCACATGTGCTCGATTGGCGAGAGATCAGGGGAGCGAGCCGGCCAGGGGATGACATTCACGTTGTTTTGTTGAAGGGAATCCTGAACAAGTCGAGCAATATGAGGCCGGACGTTGTTATGTTGAAAGGTAATGCCTGGGCCATGACGACACAAAAACGGTAGAACAACAGGGCCGATGATCTCGTTGCGGTAGCGCTGTCCATTGAGATTTCCATCTACCACTATCAAACGGGTCCTCTGTCTTGCTGTAATCCTACCCCATACCATAATGCTGCCGCCCCCAAACTAATCTTCTTCCATGACACAATGATTGACGTAATGTTCACCTCGACGTCGGTAAACTCGAGTCCGTCCATCGCTGTGGCTGAGGTGAAAACGAGACTTGTCAGTGAATAGAACTTGTCCCCACTGCATGGCCGTCCAGCATAGACACTGTCTGCACCACTATAGACGTGCTTGACAGTGGTTACCTGTCAAAATGGGACGTCTAGCGGGTCTTCTGGCGACAATCCCTGCACTTCTGAGGCGACGACGTCCGGTTTGTGAAGATATTCGTCGAAGGCCAGGGATGATTCTTGCAGTCACTGTTGCTGGAATCAGTTGCATTTTTGTGACTTGATTCCATACATGTACTACAATATTGAAAACCAAACTTTACTTGTTTGAAACATACACTAAAATATTGGTGTCACGGAATGTTTTGTTGTTGAGTATATATAACATTCCTATTCCCATTACTGTTATCACTTGCTCAATAATGGTCTTAGTTACTACACTGAAACGTCGCATTTGTTGTAATAAAGAAGTTGTATATCCATATAACTATCTCCCTTGTTCATCATACCAGCTTCTAAAAGCCCCTTAAAGATGTTAACATAATAGTTGGTGTCCCAGATTTGAAAAAGCTGTAAAATGCACAAAAAATCAATGTAAATTGGCAAAGCATATCTCACCTATCACACATCTTATTGAATTATCTGCATACACGGATATGCAATTGACACCTATGGTTTCCATAAAAACCAAACATGACTTTGAACAGAAACGGTTTGAGCTACACGAGAGCTGGTCAGTGTGACGGTCTAAACTAGGGATGACTATTGGTCTGGAAATCACTATTGCGAAAACTATTGATATTGAAAGAAACCATTGCGATAACTATTGATAGTGCAAGCAACTATTGCGATAAATATCGATAGTTTTCAGTGTATAATTTTAGATGGATTTTAGAGCTGAATTAAAACTTTGAACTGAAGTTTCCTTTGAATGTGATAACCATAACAACAAATGAAAAGTAAAGTTTGAGATATGTAACAACGCGTGTCGGTCTGACGTTTGGTTCCTGTAGGAAGTGACAACTTGGAGACGATGGCTTGCGGTATATACAGTTTTACTTTATTACTTTATACATGTAGATATATACATACAAAAGACACTATGTGCCAGGTCAGCACATAGTGGTAGTGGTTGTTGTCTAGGTGCCCTGGAGCACCCAGCTAGGCTAAGGTAAGACCTTTCTTTTTTCTTTCTCTCTGGCCCAAGGCTTACATAGCCAAGGTCACCTGACATTTAGTAAGTAATAAATATAAATGTAAACAGTAAATCATCAGTGACATACTTGCACATCTCATTCAGGATTGCAGACGGTCGATGTACACAAAAATAGGAATTAACAAATAGGATTAGCATCTTGTATATAACAGCAATTAAGTGTTTCAAGGCATATAGATGTCATGGCTCCAGGGTAATGAGCCTTTGCAATTAAATGTTCTTCAGACAATGGGTGTCGTAAATCAGTCGCTATGACATATGACTGATTTGTTTTTGTCTCTACCCTAATAATTTAAGAAAAAGAAACTTCCACATTACCACGTGTTAATTACTACCACTCATGATCAAAAGAAAAACAAATTTGAACAGCTTTGCATGTATTTTATTGATATGGTAAATACAATCAAAACTATCGATATTCCAAACCAAAATCGATACTATTGATTGGAAACTGATTTAACAATCGATTTATTGACTTTAAGTGCTTACCAACAGCAATATATTGATATTTCTATTGATCATGACACCTCTAGCACAAACAAAGTTTCACTATCCCACAGCTTGTTATAAAGGTGAAAATAGCATAAAAGTGTAACAAAGCCAAATCACTTATTACTTTGACCCTGGCAGCAAGGGCAATTCATCCACAGCCGTTCAATGAGGAGCCCCTTTTATGTGATAGACTACAACTTAATAGGTACATGACCCTGTGAACCCCAGTTTCTGACACGGCCGCCCCCAAATTTAGGCACTAAATTTGTCAACATCAGAATAAAGTCTTTCCACACTGGAACTAGAGTCAATTATCGTCATCAGCACATTCAGGTTATGATCGGTCTGGTGTACACCTTGTCTTTCACACTGACAGTGGCAGTGCGAACACATCCATGTGTTCCGAGGTAGGTTTTGGTGACTCTACCAACAGGCCGCTGAGCTCTTATGAGCTTTGGATCAACTATCACGACAACGTCATCTGTTTTGTCTTTCTTTCTGCCACTTTGTGCGCAACTGCAGATCAGGAAGATAATGTTTGACAAAGTGTACCCAAATGTGGTTGGCCAGAACTTGACTGTGGTGCCATCTGTGTCTGCTTAATAGTTCATCGGCTGGATAGACGACTTGTGGAAGAGAAGCATCATGGCGGCCAATCAGCAGGATGTTTGGTGTAACTGGGCCTACATCTCCGACATCTGATGAAACGTAGCCTAACGGCTTAGAATTTAGAATCCCTGCCACCTCCGCTAGAATGGTACTTAACACAGATTCTGTCAGTGTCTGCTCTACTAGTGCCACTCGGAGGCCATATTTCACAGATTTCATCTCTCTTTCCCAAACACCACCGAAGTGTGGTGCATGAGGAGGATTGAACACAAATCTGCGATCCAGTTATTCAGCAAGGTCTGGTTCCATACTTGCAAGTGCCTCCTGCAACTCTGTTTTAGTCCCTCAGAAACTGGAACCTTGGTCTGAGATGCGTTCGTAAGGTTTGCCCCTCAGTGAAGCGAAGCAGCCATGAGGAATGCAGCCGAGTCCATGCTTCTGAGTATGTCTAAATGCACCGCATGGGTGGTCATACATATAACCCCATCATTTTTCTAAGCGACGTCCGACCACCTCCGTGGTCTAGTGGTAGAACGCCCGCCCGGAGAGCGGAAGGTCTGGGGTTCGATCCCCGGCCGCATCATACCAAACGATGTTAAAAGATGGTACTTGTTGTTACCCTGTCTGGAGCTCGGCATTAAGGGGACAAGGACTGGTCAGCTCAGAGTCAGTATACTGTGAGTGGGGTATTCATGTTAAACTGTGGCATGGTATCTTAGTGGGCTAGCACTATAAATCGGCATCAGTCCAGGCTAGTACAAGCAGCCACACGCACACACACACACACACATGCATGCACGTTGCTATATAAGTGCAATAATCTTGGACGCGACGTTAAACCCCATTTCACCTCACCTAAGCGACATCCAACCTTCACATACATTGGTCCGAAGCAATCAACTCCCATTGAGAAGACCGTCTCCGTGGTCTAGTGGTAGAGCGTCCGCCCGGAGAGCGGAAGGTCCAGGGTTCGATCCCGGGCCGCGTCATACAAAAAGACGTTAAAAGATTGTACTTGTTGTTACCCTGTCTGGCGCTCGGCATTAAGGGGCTAAAACAAGGACTGGTCGGCTCGGAGTCAGTATACTGTGTCTGAGTGGGGTATTCATGTTAAACTGCGGCATGGTATCTCAGTGAGCTAGCACTATAAATCGGCATCAGTCCGGATTAGTACAAGCAGCCACACACACACATACACGTGCATGCACGTCGCTATATAAGTGCAATAATCTTGGACGCGACGTTAAACCCAATTTCACCTCACCTCACCCATTGAGAAGAATGATGATTTGAAAAGTGGCAGATGTGGTGGTGGAAAGTCAGACATTTTCTGTGTCCTCGGGTTTGGGCGCCATTTCTGACAGGTGGAATACTGACGCTGATGGCGTCAAATCGCTTCTCATCCCCTCAATATAAAAAATCTGCGTTTTATCTCTGCGAGTATACGGTCTTGCCCATAGTGTAAGAGCTTCTCATCTTGATCCCGGATGATCAATTTTGTTGTGACATGTTGTGGG